TGAGACTTCTAGCCATGTCGGGGTGACTTGTTGCCTGAGCAGTTCGTACTGGGTGAGATAAGGTTATTGGATCTAGGATCAGTGCAATCGGATTGTGTGAAGTATATTAAAGAGCAAGATTATTATTTGGTTCAGAATGAGGTAATGTTCTTGTCAGAAGTATAGACTCAATGATTTGTTGACCCGGCAGTTGGTTATAAATTTCTACGCGTCTCCTCCGTCGTGGCGGTATTGTAAGAATTGGGACAAGGCTTATATAAATCATGAGGTGCGTTGTGAGCATCAGGTTCGGGGAATGTTGGTTATTATGATCATAGAATGTTATTATGGTCTTGTGAATGATGTGGTGCATGGTGAGAATTCAACAAAGGTATGCAGTCATGTTCTGGTGCCTCGTGTAGTGATTGATCCGGTGTTCATATATTGGAAACAGGCCTGACGGAGAATTCCGGATGTTAGAATTGGGTTCTAAGCTTAATTGTTTGAATAAAAGAGAATATCTTCAGATTTGATCGAGTTACTGTGCTCAACTGAGCTGCGGTAGCACGGGTAGGTGCTCAAGGTGTTTAACTGTGATTTCAGACAACTCCAACGTAGTTCTTAGCACATTCGAGGACGAACGTATGTTTAAGTGGGAGAGAATGTAACGACCCGACCGGTCGTTTTGAGCTCCAGCGCGTCGTTCAGCAGTTTGAGGCCATGAGCAGCTTCATTTCAGGTATTAAGACTTGTATGCACGGTCGGAATTGAATTCCGGGAAGTTCGGAGTTGATTTGGAAAGAGAATTTTTATTTCGGAAGCTTTAAGTTGAAAGAATCGACTAAGATTGGATTTTTGAGTAAACGACCTCGGAATCGGGATTCGAAGGTTCCAGCAGGTTCGTATGATGATTTCGGACTTGGACGTATGCCCGGATCGGGTTTTGGAAGACCCGGGAACATTTCGGCACCTAATGTGGAAGTTAGCATTTTGGAGGAATTTCATAAGTTTGGGTTGAAGTGCATTTCAGTCTTATCAATGTTCGTTTGGAATTCCGAGTCTGAGAATAGCTCCGTATGGTGATTCTGGTATTGGGAGCGCGATCGGAAGTGAATTCGGAGGTCCGTGGGTCATCTTCGAGTCATTTGGCTAAAGATAGAAATTTGAAGATTTTTGAGGAGTTTGACCGGGAGTGGACTTTTTGATATCGGGGTCGGAATCCGATTCCGGAAGTTGGAGTAGGTCCGTAATGTCAAATATGACTTGTCTGCAAAATTTAGGGTCAATCGGACGTGATTTGATAGGTTTTGGCATCGAATGTAGAAGTTTGAAGTTCTAAAGTTCATAAAGTCCAAATTGGGGTGTGATTCGTGAATTCGGCGTTGTTTGATGTGATTTGAGGCCTCGAGCAGGTCCGCATTATATTTTGGGACTGGTTGGCATGATTGGTTGGGGTCCCGGGGGGCTCGGGTGGATTCCGGGGGGTTATCGATTTGAATTGGAGTTGGGAAGAATAGCTGAAGCAGCTGATATCTGGTGTAACCGCACCTGCGAGGTTTTGGCCGCAGGTGCGGAGCCGCAGAAGCTGCCAAAGGGGGCGCAGATGCGGTGGTGAAGGGTGAAGGCTGGGACCGCAGATGCGGTCAGGCCACCGCAGAAGCGGGACCGCACCTCCGGAAGAAGAAGCGCAGAAGCGGAGAGGGGCAGCTTGGCAAAGGACCACAGAAGCGGTTGGTGAGCCGCACCTGCGGGACCGCAGAAGCGGTCTGTGACCGCAGGTGCGAGAGGTCGGGCTGGGCAGTGTTCTTTAAAGAACGAGATTGGTTCATTTTCTCTCATTTTTCAGTTGGGTTGGGCGATTTTGGAGCCTTTGAAGAGAGAGATTTCATCATCAATCATGAGGTAAGTTAATCCCACCTCTTATAAGTTAAATACATGGTTTTATTGTGGATTAAAGTATAGAAATTGGTAGAAAGTTGGTGTTTGAGGGGGAAACCTAGAAAATTAGTATTCTTGGATTTTGACCACGGTTTTGGATATGAAATTAAGAGTAAATTATATATTTGAGTTCGTGAGGTTATGGGTAAACGTTATCTTCGAAAAAATTCGGAATCCGGGCACGTGGGCCCGAGGGCAATTTTGTCAACTTTTCGATCGGGGTTAGGAATTGTTATAAATTGGTTTGTAATGAGTAAGTGATCATATATTAATGAGTTTACATAATTATTGACTAGTTTTGGAGCGTTGTGCATCAATTTGAGTCTTCGGAAGGGCGTGGAATGCCGGTTATGGAGCTTCGGAGCGAGGTGAGTCTCCTTTCTAACCTTGTAAGAGGGAATTGTCCCCATAGGTAAATTAATTGAACTTATGTGCTGCTATTTATGGGGGCTACGTACGCACGAGGTGACGAGAGTCCGTGCGTAGCTACTATTATGCCTATGTCCGGGTAGTCTAGGACCCAAAAGCATGCTTACTTGTAATAATTGTAACTATATTGATGGTTTAATTTGCTTAAATCATATCGAAGTGGCAAATAATTTTCTAAAAGAGTTAAACTTCATTTTCTTGACTTGTAAAAGAGAAATGTACACCTCCTTGAACAATTGTTTTCTAGATGAAGTCCTGATCGACTGTTTGAATATGTGTTTCTATCTGTACCTGCGTCGCATGTATGATTCGCGAGCAAGGTGATTGTTTATTTGTATTTGACCGCGTCGCATGTATGATTCGCGAGCAAGGTAGTAGATGCATCTATGGTTCGCGCCATTCGACCCTCTGGCAGTGCACATTTTAAATATTGTTGGATCGAGCCGTACGACCTCGGCATGAGTTGCGCATGCTTGTATTGCTTTCCTTGAAATTCATTGAAGTTGATATTGTCACTCCCTGACTTGAGAATAAATGTATAATTGATGAAAACGAAATTTGGAAATTTCCCTTTGAATAAAGGAATTGATTAATTGTTTCATTCTGTTGAGTTACGACCATGCTTTATAAAAATCCTGGATTTCATTATATTAATTGTGTATCATTATTGGACCACTAGTAAGTGTCGAAGTCGACCTCTCATCTCTACTTCTTCGAGATTAGGCGGGATACTTACTGAGTACACGTTGTTTTCGTACTCATGCTACACTTGCTGTGCATTTTTGTTGCACAGGCACACGTGATTCTAGTGGCCTACTGGGCGTAGCAGCATGGATGATGCGGAGACTAGGTGAGCTGCATTTCTTGAGGCGACTCGCAGCTAGTACAGTCTCTTTCAGCGTATTGTATTTTACTTCCTGTCCAATTTGTATTCCGGACAGTTGTTGTATTATACCTTGTTTTTCCTAGAAATTGCTCATGCACTTGTGACACCGGGTTTTGGGATGATTATGGGCTTATTCAGTATTCAGGAATTGTTAAAGACACCATTACTATTTCAGCAAATTTCATTATCTATTGTTTAATGTATAAAAGAAAAGTGATTTCATTATATACTAAAATGGGGATTTAATTAACTTCTTGGTGTTGGCTTGCTTGACAGTGGTGTCCGCCGCCATCACGACCCTTGATGGATTTTGGGTCGCGACAATAATTAAGCGAAGCAAGTTTTCTTGGTATCTCCCCTGAAAGCTGGTTGGATGAAAGGTCTAACGATTCGACTAGATATAAATTTCCAAGTGATGATGGAATACGACCCTGGTAATCCATTATGAGACAAATTCAACACCCGAAGCGAAATGAGATCTTCCAGAACACTAGGAATATGTCCTTCAAATTTTTTGTTTGAAAGATCGATCGTGGTGTACAATCAAGATTCTCACAACTTCACGCTCCAGTCCCTTTGTTACAACAGTTAATGAGTCTTTGTAATATAAATCCCCTTCATCACTAATTGGTGGCTTTATTGTTTGATCAATTCTCCACATGGCTTTCAATTGTTGAAAAAGACTTGTTGGTAACTCTGCTGTAAACGCATTGCCAGAGATCTAGTATCCGAAGCTCAGGAAACAAGTTTTCAATGTCTGAAGTTCTAATGGGTCCATGCAATTTATTGGATCTCAAGCTTAAAACTTGTAGCATTGGAAGAGTCCCCAACCACATAGGAAATGTGTCATTGAGATGATTGTTTCCGAAATCAAGAACTTCCAACTGTTTGCAATTGGCCAAGGATCCTGGGATTTTTCCTCTAGTTTAGATAACTAAGAGATTCAGGCAAATCACCATAAACATTAACTGGAGAAAGATCTAACTCCCTGAGAGATTCACTGCTGTTCCATTTGGTCTTTGGAAAATAACCACCGAGCTGATTATTGTTTGACAAGGTAAGAACTTGCAAGTCTGGCAAGTGAAAAATAGTCTCAGGAATTATCCCATACAATCCAGAGTTGTTATATAAGAAGATAAATTTTGAGGTATGGCTGAAGATATGTCTACTTTAGTAAGACGAGTCAATATTTGAAGTTTATGGGTTCCAAAATTATTATGGAATCCATAGCTCGTCTTACTTACTGGTTTCATAATTAAATATTTATACATATTTAATGAATTTTTTAATACAACAGTGTTTAAGCTAAAGTGATTGGGTTAGGCCGAACCCGCACGTAATGGGCTAGCTCCGCTCTGCTAATACACATGGACACTTCAACCTGTGCCGGGGTAGAGGCAGATATAGCCAAGTGGATTAAAGACATATTTGTCGCTCGCCCATCAATACATGGACCGTTTGTTTCGAAGACACAAGACAAACCTAGAAAATCTAGTGATGCTACAATATGTTATGGCCCGGCCCCCTTTAATATGTACAGTAAATATTATCTTTGCAACCAAAAAGCTAGGTAAAAAATAAAAAGTTAAAAACCCTAGGGTGCGCCACAGCTGAACTTTCTATGTGATATTTCTGCTGTAATTGGCTGATGCAAATTGTGATATTCAAAAATGGAACGATATGGCTTCTGTAGTAACATATTTTATTTAAGTTTACTTATGCAGTCATAGCGATGGTTGATAACATAATTGTGCTCATGGATAAGTGATACTATAACATACAAACTTTCTAGATTACTAATTAGTAGCCTACAGTTCTCAAATAAATACTCCAAGATTACTAATAAAGTTACATTGATGTGTTACTAACACAATTGCCTTTATGCATGTATGACATTGCATACAAACTTTCTTGACCATTTAATAGTCTACAGGTCTGAAAATGTTAGCAATGGACTTATGTTAGTCACTGTTACTTACAACAAATGGGCTTCGGACTTTGTAATTACCATTTGTCCAAGTAATTGAGCCAAACATGTCTTCCTTTGTAGTAGATGAAGCTCTAAAAGACACTTCATAGCTTAATTTCTTACTATTATTTGTAAATTCCAGTTTACTTGGAATCACTTGGACTCGCAATCCAGTTGGTGCCTCAACAATCGCAGTATATACCGATGCTTCTTCTCCAACATTAGTAACAGTTCTAGTAACTTTCTTGGTTTTATACTTTTTGAGACCAGAAATAGCAATTGATGGGTAATTCATATTAGAAACCAATTCAGAGCTTGAGTTTTTTGGGCATGAAAAGTCATTAGGAACTGTACTTGAGATCAGCTTTATCTTTGATATGTCATAGCCAACAGAACAGAGGAAATGCACGTAGTCGGCGACATCTGTCGCGTAGACTAGACCTGGTTTTAATGGACGTGAAGTGCTTGCTTCTCCAGAACCTATGTCATATGGTGTTGCCTTGGATCCAAAGTTTGTAGTGATTGGAGCCTTCAAATTGTTTGTCTGAATAGCTGTTGAAACAAAGTTCGAAATAAGCAAGGATATCACTGAAAGAATGTTGACTAGTAGTTTACTACTCCTTCCGTTATGCGTCTTAGTTTGATTGTGCACGGAGTCTAAAAGTTAAGGAAGAATCTTAAATCTTGTTGTGTGTAATACACCAAAATGCCCTTGAATCTTGTGGTCTTAGATATGCCATGTGGAATGTTGGAGTTAAAGAGTTACTACCATATATAAGAAGAAACATTCTTTTTGAAACAGACTAAGACGGAAAGTAACACACATAAATTGAAACAAAGGGACTATTATTAAGTTCCTTACCAGTGGTCATAATAGCTGATTTGATAGCGGAAGGACCCCAGGTGGGATTTTGCGCCTTGACAGTTGCAGCAATGCCGGAAACGTGAGGGCAGGACATGGAAGTACCTGAGAGTATGTTGAACATTGGTTGTTTATTTCCAGGCCAAGCAGCAAGAATTGTTACCCCTGGTGCTGTAATATCTGGCTGCAAGGACAGAGCTAAAATCCATTTAGCATGTGGTTTACTGTGTTTGTCTAGAGAAAACTTATGTTTAGAACACAATCAAAGATATCAAATATATTTGGCCTTACTTTGAGGAGGTTAGGGGTGTTTGCTGCAGGGCCCCTTGATGAGAAGTAAGGCACAACAGGAGCTGGTTTATACTTAGTTGTGGAAACAGTTGGTAGAATTGATGCAACTGGATTCCTTCAGAAGTTTGAAGAATCGTTAACTGTTTGCGCGCTTAGCAACAATATCAGATCAATGATATTGGATTAAAAAAATTAAACATTACAAAAAATGGCTATGGGTAAAATATTGCCGCACTTTAAATCATAAGTTCAGTGATCATAAATATAATTTTTAGGATTGAGTCACCTTGGCTTCTTTGTTGGATTTGCATGCCTATTTGGTTTTCCATTGTCAAGTGTTGGGTTTTTCAGGGATTTTGATTTTCTGATGAACATAAAGAAGTCTTTAAGAGACAAAAACTAGTTTATAGACTCTAGTGCCAAAATCTTTTAAGTTGGATTTCCACAAATTAAACACAGACAGAGATTACCTTGTGGATTTGATGTAGGAGAGGATTTCAGTACCATCTTTTCTAGAGATTACAGCTGCTGGGAACGATTCGAATTTGGGTGCCACTGTTCTTAGATCATCATCTATTAGTATAAATCCAACTCCACCTCGGCTTTTCACTTCGAGTAGCCTGTCACTGGGTGAAAATCCATCATTCTGAAGGTTTTCACATACAACAATTTTGCCCTTGACCTTGTTTTTGTCTAATGAATCAGGAACGCAACCCCTGAAACACCATCATTTTTAGTTAAAGGTACATATTAGTATAGTATTTCATATCTTTGCGAGGCACTAGAAAATGTGACCTGACATTCTTGACGCATATATATACCTTGCCTCTTCCTCAGTAATGCGCTTGTTTAGTTTAGCTGAATTGCCTTTAATCAATGGGTAGACGGGAGATTTTGTCATATTACCAAAGTTTATACCTCCACCCTGAAATTCAACAAGGATATCCAAGCAAATGTTGATACAAAACATGAGAAGAAAGCAAAGGATTGATGATTAGTACCGTAGGCACAAATGATTAGTACAGTAGCATTTACCTTAATCAGCTTGTTTCCACCTAAGATAATATCTGTCTCGAAGTCACGGTCAATGGTGGTGGCTGCAACTGTAAGAATCCAAGGAGCTGTATTGACAACAGTTTTGGGATCAGGGCCACTATTTCCAGCAGAACAGACAACAACAATTCCCTTTTCCACGGCATGAAATGCTCCTATGGCAATAGGATTTTTTGATAACTCTTCAAGTCCAGGTGATGAACCAAGTGATAGAGATAAAACATCAACCCCATCTGCAATTGCATCATCAAATGCTTTCATGATAGCTGATCCACGGCATCCATTAGACGTGCAGACACGATACACAGCGATTCTTGAACCTGGAGATCCACCCTTAGCAGTTCCTGCAGCTAGACCATAGTAGGATGCACCTGCAACAGCGCTCCCAGCTGCTGTGGATGCAACGTGAGTACCATGTCCATTCTCGTCCCTGGCTGATCCAGCCATTTTCGTTCCTCTGCCATCAAACTCCTCGTAAAATCTTGCACCAACTATCTTCCTACAGAAAATTTCAATCATCACAAAAAATGAACAACTACTTATTTAACCTTGTTATATGAATCCATGAGGAAGAGAAGTCAACTAACTAACAAGGAACTGACATAACAGAAAAAGAAAAGCGAAACCATACAACAGGGTTGGAAAATAATTACGTAGTCTACTTTTCCCAAATGGAAAATATAAATCTTCCGTATATTTGGCTAACTCCTTTCTTAAAAGGAAAAAGTTTTCAACTTCTATAAATTAAAGATTCTTCCTTTTCACAATAAGGGCAGCCCGGTGCACTAAGCTCCCAACTATACACGGGTTCCCCATCCGGGAAGGGTCGAACCACAAGGGTCTATTGTACGCAGCCTTACCATGTCTTTTTGCAAGAGGCTATTTCCACGGCTCGAACTCGTGACCTCCTCGTCACATGACAGCAACTTTACTAGTTATTATTTAGGAAGGAGAATTTATTTTCTCTGATAAGGTTTTTTTTCCTTTTATATTAGTAGATTGACGTAGGTCAATTGACCAAATTATATTAAATTATAGTGTCTTTTTTGATATACTCCTATTTCTCTTTGGTCGTTTGATTTATCACCGCTAAAGTTTGCTATGTTAGCTTCGGCATTACGCCTAGTTATTTCGATCTCAACATCGAGTTACAAGTTTCATCTACACAAAAAACCACAGCTAAAAAAAGTGTAAATATTAGGAGGAGAAAGTTACTTGTTGCATTTGGAAGCGCCAAAATCATGACCATCCATGCAAGTTCCTTTCCACCGGGTTGGAATTGGACTCATACCCTTGTCATTGAAACTCTCTGATTCTGGCCATATTCCTGAAAATGCATTAATTCAGTGAATTTAGATAATTATTTCAAAAAAAAAAATGCATTAAGTTTGCACTATTATTTTGTGAAATTAGTAAAATGTCCGACCCGTATCCAAGATTCCAATTATGGTGTCAGCTCCATTTGGTGATGAATCAGAACCAGAGCTTGGACTTGAATTGATTTCGTCAACTGTTTGATACTTCAAGAAATCCCATGAACGTGTAGTGTGGAGTTGCAGCACTGGATCAGGGAAAACAGAGACAACTCCAGGTCTTTGAGCAATAGATTGGGCTTCAGCTTCTGATAAACGTGCCGCAAATCCTGAGAAACCATTCTCGTAGCTGTGTACCACTGTATTCTTGTTTCTAAAACAAAGCAAAAATTTATGTTTGTTTATTTCCGGAAACAATGGTTAGTATAGCACAACTTAAGTTTATAACCTGGTGACAAATTCACCTAAATAACTTACATAGGAAATGTTCAAATTTACCCATCAATTTTACGAAATATCTCAATATTAAAAACCTTTATCATTAGCAAATCATCTTGTATTTTCCCTTAACTTTAATGAAGCTCCAACATACATAGGCGGATGCAGCTAAGTAGTACTGAGTTCATTTGAACCCAGTACTTTAGACGCGAAGTATAAATTTACGCATAAAAATCCATTAAAATTGTAGTAAATAACAGATATGAACCCATAACTTGAAAATATAATGGGTTTAATGCTAAAAATATAAAAAATTAAACCCGTAGAACTTAAATCCCGGATCTGCCTCTGCCAACATAAACGGGTTGATTTCCACGTGAAAAAGTCTATATTTACCCATCTGCTTTTAGCTATAGTTTAAAACTATACTCTGTTATACTGCAGATAGGGGCTCTGTTAGGATCAATCGCAAATATGAGCTAATTCGCTAACGAAAGAGCATAACTGAGGATAAATAAAGATATACTCTATTATATTAGTAGAGGGGTAATTTTTGACTACTTTTTACATATTTTATGTACAGACAGTGTTTGGGACATAAACTAAAAAACATAGTATAACATAGGTATTAAAAGTTTCCTAGTATCTAGTTGTTGTCACTGAGTAGTGTTAGAATTTCCAAATATATAAAGCTTTTAATCTTTTTGAGACTGAAAAAAAAAACGTAAAGATAGTAAACCAACCTTTTAATCAATGAGCTGATAAGCTGCGCTTGATCATGTCTGGTACCACCGTTAGATGAAGCATCAGCACCCATATAAACGATATAAATGTCATCGTTTTTTGCTTGAGAAGCTGACTCGGCTTCTCTTATACAAGAGACAATCAAGAAAAGAGAAAAACAGAAAAACAAAGAAATTCCTTTCATTTTAATGCTGATAAATTTTCCGTTTAAAGGTATAGAAAAAAGCTTATAATTAATCCCGACAGTCATGTTCTATATATAAATAGAATATAAACAAAGCACTTAAGTAATGGCAATTTTTGTTGGTGCATTCATGTGTGTACGCACTGCTGAAGCGCCCATCAGTCATCCTCTCAAAGTGCGTTTATTGCTTTTCCAAATTAAAACGTCCACTCAATTATGATTAATAGTTTGTTGACTCCCTTTTATTATTTTAGCAGGAATATAATTGTACTTTATTATTCTTTTCTTTTCTTTTTTTTGGTTTTGTTTCTCATTCTGGTGTTAATTACTTTCTATTTCATTTGTTATAATATAAAGGTAGTAATAGTTAGTAATAACAAAATTGAAGCTTCTTCATGTGAAGTGTTAAAGATTCAAGGACTATTGTCTATAAGCAAATTGTCATCAGTCTAAAATTACTTCCGAGATGTTTTTAAAGTCATCAAAGTTTCATCTATCTGTCAGAAAGAAGTCTTGGTGCAACGATCAAAATTGTATGCATGTTACAATAAAAGCCGATGGGTTCAAGCCCTCAAAATAACCTTTAAATGCAAGATAAAGTTGCGTATAATAGATCGACCTAACATGGTCTATCTAGCTCTTCCCGGAATCCAACACATAGTACGAATTTTTGTGCACTATGCTACCCTTTAATGTTCATATGATAGTGATCCATATTTTTAGTGTGTTGAAATCATGTCCTAAGTGCACGCTTGTAATGCTCCCTCCATATATGATGACACAAGCACCCGAACTTGATATTCCGATAGATAAACCATTAAACTTAAGAGAGTGGCGGCTGTGATTTTACCTGCCCTTACGTACACGATCGCTTTATAGTCATCAAAGTATAATCTGTGAGTGATCCATCTATATTCATATTTTCAATAGGTGATGAATGGAGTAAAATAAAATGAGAACATAAATAAATAAACAAAAGTATGGAACAGCAGCAGGATATGCGTTTGCATTTTCACATAACTTAAAAAATATTCCGTTGCCGGGAATCGAACCCGGGTCTCCTGGGTGAAAGCCAGATATCCTAACCGCTGGACGACAACGGATGATTGCTACAATTGCGTCATGTATTTTTATTTATAATGCTCTTTTTGGGTGATCACAACATTACAACAACTCAACAAGTGCCAACAACATATTAGCTGATTACTAATACTCTCTGCATGTTGGTTTCAGTGACGCAGTAACCACAAAAATATTGAAACAAATTGTATTATAATGAAGCTTCAAAAGGACCTATTTCTCTCGATGTCTAAAATAATTTAAATGTTACATTCTAGTAGAGGTTCACTGTCGCATTAAGAACAACTAATTACTATCCTACATAGCTACCAGAAAGGTCAAATACATAAGTGGACCCTTAAACTTTGTCCTTTTTTTCACTTAGACACTTGAACTAAACTTTGTTCCTATTGAACACTTGTACTATCTAAAATATGTGTCAATTAATATTAATATTTTGTTATTAAACCAAATATTTAATAACATTTCTGTTAATATTTTACTATTAACAAATAAATTTGGACACTTGTACTATCTACGTGATTTTAACGTTTGTGTCATTCTTTTACAGAAATGACTAATGAGAATGAGAACCAAGCGGTTCCAATGGTGACTGCCAATGCGTCAACAAGCCGAACGACACCGGCAGCATTGGCACCGGCGGAGAAACCCGGAAAATTTTCCGGGATTGATTTCAAGCGCTGGCAGCAAAAGATGTTCTTCTATCTGACTACTCTAAGTCTCCAGAAGTTCATCAAGGAAGATGTTCCTGTGCTGTCCGATGAAACTCCAGAAACTGAACGCTTTCTCGTAATTGAGGCATGGAAGCATTCAGATTTTTTGTGCAAGAATTATATTCTAAGCGGGCTGGAGGATGGTTTGTATAACGTCTACAGTGGCGTGGAAATGTCAAAGGAACTGTGGACTGCGCTTGAAAAGAAATACAAAACCGAAGATGCCGGGTTGAAAAAGTTTGTTGCTGCAAAGTTTTTGGACTACAAAATGGTAGATAGCAAGTCTGTTATTACCCAAGTCCAGGAATTGCAAGTGATTATTCACGATCTCCTTGCTGAAGGTATAACTCAATTTAATATTGATGTTGAAAGTAGTAATCTTAGTATTTTTACTAATAGAAATTTCATTGAAGGTCTTGTTATCAATGAAGCATTTCAAGTAGCAGCGATGATTGAGAAGTTGCCTCCTTTGTGGAAGGACTTCAAAAACTACTTGAAACACAAACGCAAGGAGATGTCCCTTGAAGATCTCATTGTTCGGTTGAGAATCGAAGAGGACAACAAAGCTGCGGAAAAGAGAGGCCGTGGAAATTCAACAATAATGGGAGCAAATATTGTTGAAGAGAACAAAAAGAGAAAAGAAGGCTTCTGGACCGAAAATACAACCCAAGCAAGAAAGCGGTTCAGTGGAAACTGA